CTTTTTCCATTACTTAAGGCCCCGATACCAGGTAGCAGTGGTAATCCGAAACAGAGACGGTTTTTTACATTATTTGTGATTACGATGTATAACACCCACCCATTTTTTACGCCTACATGGTACAAGATTCGCGGTGCAAGATTTCCCTGTTGTAGTCTGGTAAAGAAGCCTCTCTAACTCTGTATATGGATCCTTGACCGCAACGGTAACGATGTCTAATCTGTATATCATTCTAACAATAAGCATGTGGATGTGTGGTACATGCGCTCTTCAGTTTGGTACAGATCCGGGTCCTCTGTACACCTTGTACAATGACCTACTGGAGCACTACAAGCCGTATATCAGACCCAGGAAGAATCCTAATGTTACCGTGGACGTAGTGGTTTCCTACAGCATTGCTTCTGTCGAAGCCTTGGATGAAGACACCCAGACAGTAGCTTCTTCTGGAGTCGTCCTATTTACATGGACAGATGAGCTGTTGACTTGGAACTCAAGTGATTATGGTGGAATAAAGTTTATAAATATACCTGTGGATAAACTGTGGATTCCGGACGTGAGTTTGACGAATGGACTAGAAGACATTTCGTTGATTCTTCCCGATGGGGAAATAGCAAGGGTGATGAACGATGGACAGGTCTTGTGGTATCACGGGATGAAGAAACGGACAAAGTGCCCTTTAGACATGACAAAATTTCCATTTGATACCCAGACATGCAGTATCCGTCTTATACAGTGGGTTACTGTCATTTCTCAAGTTAATGTGACAGCAGGTGAGGTTAACATTGAATCGTCCATGTTTCAAAGAAATGGTGAATGGGAAATAACTGACAAATCGCAGGACACCAATGTTCACACATATACCGATGTTTACATCCAAACGGAGATTATTTTCACGTTCGTCTTCAAACGGAAGTACCTGTATTACATCATCACCAACATCCTTCCCGTCATGCTTCTTTCCGTCCTTAACCTTGGTGTGTTTCTACTTCCGCCTGAGTCTGGGGAAAAGGTATCCTTGTGTATATCCATAGTGCTGTCCTACGCAGTGTTCTTGTCTGTCATTGGAGGAAGTTTACCGCAAGTGTCAGATACTGTGAGCATCTTCAGCATCTACCTCCTGACAATGATGTTCCTCAAAGTCGCGACAACTTTGATCACAGTCATCGTTTTGAAAGTTTACCATAAGACCACCGAAGAGGCGGTTTACCTCTCAAACCGTGAGAGTCTTATAAAAAGTCACATACAAGACAACTCCAAACCAAATTTTGAACAAGATAGTACACTTGTAAAACAACAAACGACAGAAAAGAAGACAGACAAACAGCTCGCAAACAAATTAAATAAGATTGGTTTCACTACTGTATTTCTATTCACAACCATGATCACCTTTCTATGTTTTGCTCTTATGTTAAAAGAATCGTAAAATTGCAATGTGAACATTTTATGTCAACGTAATGGCCAGATACTGATGGTTTATTGCCTAACATATATCTCCTGTTGGTTTCAAATTTTGTGCATTTGCCTCTTTTGTTCCGAACGTAACATCACACGATGAGGTAGCACGTCATGTATATAGGGTTTGTTATGTAAACATGGCAAACCTCATTGTAAATGCCGAGCCAATATTTGATGGAAGTGATGTACTAGTATTTCGGTAGTTTAAATTATATATTATGACTTATGTATAATAGATCATGTTACTTTGACGTCTGTATTGTGCCCTTGCTTATCAGTACAGGACGTGGTTGAGGTTTGTTTGTTTGTTGTTTAACGCCACACTCAGCAATATTCCAGCTATATGACGGCCGTGAATGAGATACGACCTGCCTCGATACGGCGCTTTCGAATGTTGCGTATTGTTTACATTTTATCCTGAGACGTGTGGTGATCTCGCTGCGCCTCGACGTACCTTTTATATTTGTAATTAGTAAGTAAAATGTTATTATGTAGCTTGAAATTAATGTCAGTCAGCAATAGTACGCGAGACACCGACATAATGTTCCTCGGTTATATTTCTTTAAGTCAGCTTAGAGGGGCGGTCGGGTAGCCTAGTGGTTAAAGCGTTCGCTCGTCACGCCGAAGACCCGGGTTCGATTCCCGACATGGGTACATTGTGTGAAGCCCATTTCTGGTGTCCCCCGCCTGATATTGCTGGAATATTGCTAAAAGCGGCGTAAAAACATACTCACTCACTTTAAGTCAGCTTAGAGCTGAGTTAGAGCAGCTTATTTTACGTTCATTCTAAAGCTGTATGATGTAATGAGTGTCAATAAAATTAGTGTTATTATAAGCATACGTTTGTCAATCAATATTAGGATATAAGTCTTGTTAATAGTATAAATTATTGTGGTAAATAGTATTTGTTATTGTAGTAAATAGTATTAGTTATTGCTGTAATACCGTTGCAAAAATCAAAAGAAGGTAAATGCATATATTACTAACATTTCAACCCTGATTTCCATTAAAGCAAGGTAAAGTGTAATTTGTACGGTTCAGTCAATAACAATTTTATTTTGAAACCGTAGGATCAGCCATACTGTTGACAGTGTTCGTATCCTACAGCAAAACCTGAACAAAGGAACAACCTTAATTATGAACTAACGACTTATCGATCTTGTGTGTCCATATAGATGAGAGTATCTTTGTGTTTGTGTTCAGATTGGCAGCATTGTTTTATATAATGTGCATTAAACTACCTTTCAGCAGTTTGTTTCCATTTCATTATCGCTGTTACATACATGTGAAATGAAGCGCAGCACCACTAAAGGCCAGATCTATATTTTGTCAATCAACTAAATGGGTACATTGTCCAAAGTCTCAAAGGTCTGTTGTAGTGTCAGGTTGCATTACTGGCAATTGTATCCTGTTGTGATGATGTTACATTGTTTTTAAAATAGGCCTACATGGTGCAAAGTTATATTGACAAACTCCCAGGGGCCCGAATGTTTTGATGTTACAATATCAGAATCCCAGGAGCCCGCATGGTGTGATGGTCTATAATCACAATCCGTCGGTCCCGTGTGGTATGATACTATTTTGTCAGAATCACAGGGGCTCGCCTGGTATGACGCTATATCATCAGAATCCCCCCCCCCCCCCCCCCATGGTATGATGCTATATCGTCTGAATCCCAGGGGCTCGCCTGGTATGACGCTTTATCATCAGAATCCCAGGGCCCCCCATGGTATGACGCTATATTGTCAGAATCCTAGGGGCCCGCATTGTATGATGCTATATTGTCAGAATCCCAGGGGCCCGCATGGTGTGATGCTATATTGTCAGAATCACAGGGGCCCGCCTGGTATGACGATATATCAACAGAATCCCAGGGCCCCCAAGGTATGACGCTATATTATCAGAATCACAGGGGCTCGCCTGGTATGACGCTATATCATCAGAATCCCAGGGGCCCGCATGGTATGATGCTATATTGTCAGAATCCCAGGGGCTCGCCTGGTATGACGCTATATCATCAGAATCCCAGGGGCCCCCATGGTATTACGCTATATTGTCAGAATCCTAGGGGCCCGCATTGTATGATGCTATATTGTCAGAATCCCAGGGGCCCGCATGGTGTGATGCTATATTGTCAGAATCACAGGGGCCCGCCTGGTATGACGATATATCAACAGAATCCCAGGGCCCCCAAGGTATGACGCTATATTATCAGAATCACAGGGGCTCGCCTGGTATGACGCTATATCATCAGAATCCCAGGGGCCCGCATGGTATGATGCTATATTGTCAGAATCCCAGGGGCTCGCCTGGTATGACGCTATATCATCAGAATCCCAGGGGCCCCCATGGTATTACGCTATATTGTCAGAATCCTAGGGGCCCGCATGGTATGATGCTATATTGTCAGAATCCCAGGGGCCCGCATGGTGTGATGCTATATTGTCAGAATCACAGGGGCCCGCCTGGTATGACGATATATCATCAGAATCCCAGGGCCCCCCATGGTATGACGCTATATTGTCAGAATCCCAGGGCCCCCCATGGTATGATGCTATATTGTCAGAATCACAGGGCCCCCCATGGTATGATGCTATATTGTCAGAATCACAGGGGCTCGCCTGGTATGACGCTATATCACCAGAATCCCAGGGGCCCGCATGGTATGACGCTATATCATCAGAATCCCAGGGCCCCCCATGGTATGATACTATTTTGTCAGAATCCCTGGGGCCCGAATGTTTTGGTGTTATATTATCAGCATCTCAGGGGCCCAAATGTTTTGATGTTTTATTATTAGAATCCCAGGGGCCCACCAGGCGTGGTGTTATATTATCAAAACCCCTGGTGTGATGTTTCATTATCAGAATCCCAGGGGCCCATCAGGCGTGATGTTATATTATCAAAACCCCTGGTGTGATGTTATATTGCCAGAATCCCAGTTTCCTGATGCTTGCGATGTGAAGCATGACTCTGAAGAAAGTATTTACTCCACTGTAGACACCTAGGTAACAGGATGATCCAAAGTTCAGAAATGAATGATGTAAGGCTTATCTGTGTTTAAAAGAAGAGCAAAGCTTTTACGAAGGCGACAGCCAATATGCTCGTCATCACAGCACAATCATTCATGTATTTACACATACAGTTTTAACCTTTTGAAAAGCTACCAGAAAACGAAGTTTAATAGAACACGTCGATCAGCATTAGAGGTACAAACAAAGCCGTGCAAACACTGTGTAAAATACTGGTATTGATATTTGATTCAATGATGTATGTAAAAATATAGCCCCAGGCTACATTACGTCTACATTAATAAAGACTGGTTGTTCCGATTCTGCAAACATTCCCTGCCTGCGTCTGTACTGCCATGCTGCTCGCACCACTTGATAGTGATCCCAACCACTACAGTGCTATCAATCCAAACGTTTGTGACAGGGATATACCTTGTGGTCATACCTGGACTTCACATTTGTAATATTATTCTACCTCTCTGGGGAAAAGTATTTTTATGATCTCTGTGATCACTTATTTTTCCAACGAACCTTGCTGGTGGATGACACGGTGAGTCATTGATTAACCTTGTGTGTAGATCCTAAGATAGATGTTTTAGATGTATCTAGTTATTCTAACACTTTGTGTATTTCTGTGTGCTACATATGGTCGTCAGTCTGGTGCTGATCCGGGCCCTTTGTACACCTTGTATAATGACCTACTGGAGCACTACAAGCCGTATATCAGACCCAGGAAGAATCCTAATGATACCGTGGACGTAGTGGTTTCCTATAGCATGACGTCTGTGGAAGCCTTGGAGGAAACCACACAGTCAATAACATCATCAGGAGTCATCCGATTTGAATGGGCAGACGAGCTGTTGACTTGGAACTCCAGTGATTATGGTGGTATACAATATATTAATATACCTGTGGATAAACTTTGGATTCCGGACGTGAGGATGACAAATGCATTAGAAGACATTTCGTTAATTCTTCCTAGCGGAGACATAGCAAGGGTGAACAACGATGGACGGATCGACTGGTACCATGTAATGAAGAGACGAACAAAATGTCCTCTAGACATGTCCACGTTTCCATTTGACACCCAGACATGCAATATTACCCTTTTTCAATGGATAACGGTCATTGCGCAAGTTAATATGACAGCCAAAGGGGTCCACATTGAATCGTCAATGTTTCAACGAAACGGAGAGTGGGATATAATTGATAGATCAATGGAAACTATTGTTCACATGTACACCAGTTTGTATATCCAGACGGAGATTACTTTTACGTTTGTCTTCAAACGGAAGTACCTATATTACATCATCACCAACATCCTACCCGTCATGCTTCTTTCCATCCTTAACCTTGGTGTGTTTCTACTTCCGCCTGAGTCTGGAGAAAAGATTTCCTTGTGTGTATCGATAGTGGTGTCCTACGCAGTGTTCTTGTCTGTCATTGGAGGAAGTTTACCGCAAGTGTCAGATACTGTGTGCATCTTCAGCATCTACCTCCTCGCAATGCTGTTTGTCAAAGTAGCTACAACTTTGTTGACAGTTTTAGTGTTGAATATTTACCATGGAGACACTAAAAAAGAATGCTCCCAACCAGATCCAAAAAACCAACACAATCGTTCATTTTCGGAAGGTTCAGAAAGGAAGATATTAAAGAAAGGAAACAAACAGCTGGCAAAACTTTTAAACAAAATCAGTTTTGCTGTTATATTCTCTTTGACAGTTATCCTTACCATTCTCTGTTTTGTCCTCTCTAAACAGTAGTAAGAGTTTCACGTAACTGTCGGATATACAGAGAATATCACCCTTTTGATATGAAATATATCAATATGAATCTGTATACGAGTCGGTATACGAGTGTTGAAATGTACATAATCAAATTAAAAACTTCACATCTTTAAAAGTAATCCCATATATGATATACAACGGACAAATGAATCAGAGAAGGTAATTTTTAATCATTAATGTCCAAAGAAGGATTTTAATTAACGAAGGTAACCATAATTTGTTCCAAGCACCTACGGTATTTGGTAATAACATCAACAGTCCCAAGCACGAGAATCTGATGGCACACAAGTTAAGTAGCGTGTATGACCAGCATGTGCGTTGACAACTGCCACACAACGCCTCCGCATGGACCTTGTAATGCTTGTGAACACATGATTGGGAAGACGACGCCATTATTGCTGCAAAATTCTGTGGTTGGTTCTGGAGAGTGCACCGACTTCTGCCAAGAGCATCCCAGACGTGTTCGATGGGATTGAGGTCGGGAGACCTTGACGGCTAGTCCATGACATTTGACTCCAGCATTCTGAAGGAAATTCCTTGTCAAAATTGCTGTGTTGGGTCTGGCATTGTCGTGTTGGAAGATCAAACCGGGTCCATGTGCTGCCATAAAAGGCAGGAGTTCTGGTGCCAGTACCTGGTCGCGGTATGCAGCAGCGTTGAGGTTGCCACGGATGACAAGAAGCATGGAACGTGTATTGCCAGAGAAAGCTCCCCACACCCTGACACTTCCGCCTCGAAATCTGTCTACTTACTGTACAAAACACTGGGCGTAACGTTCATGACGGCGCCTCCACAGCCTCGCCCTACCATCAACAAATCGAAGATTAAATCGGGATTCATCACTGAAGACGACTAGATTCCAATACCTCTGAGTCCATCGTAAGTGTCGCTGTGCCCACAATTGACGTTGACGTCTGTGTAATTGAGTCAGAATCGGATACGCAGTATGGCCGTCGTGCTTGAAGGTGAGCAGTTCTCAGACGGTTCGAACAGTTCGCGCACCCAGTCTACCCCTAAACATTTCATTTCTGGCTGATGTAGCCGTTACGGTTACGGAGGTGACGTAAGACAATTTGACGATCCTCTGCATGTGACGTCACACGTGGTCGACCTGGCCGAGGGCAATCAGCGGTGGTACCCGTTTGCTGTAGACGCGTCTGTAAATCATAAACACAATGATAACTGGTCAAAATGTTAAAATTTTAGAATTTGTGAAGTTTTTTATTTGGTTCAGTATATTTGATATCAAAAGACTCCAAGATGAGATTCTATTTATCATCCAAGCTTTTTCAGTTTTCAAACAGTAATATTTGGGTTGCGTGTATAAGGTACAGCTAACAAGCCTCAGTGGAGATTAGTGGTGTCATTTGATTGCGAGGTCATGGCAACTGATGATGTCACAATGGTCTGCAATGCATTGTGATGCAATTTGATCTCACCTAAGCGATGTCTCCCATGGAAGCCTGGTCCTGTTGATACAGCCATTAATGCTATGAGCTATTTGTTGTATTTATCCCTCAGTAAAATCCGTGACCATGACTGTATAATTCGCTTACCGAGAACAGATTGGTATCCCAGACTGTTTTTAAATATATATTGTTAGAGGAATATTTAAATATTCTTCCTCTCATTTTGTATCAAGAATAAATGTCTTACCTTTGTCAGAATTGGGCCACAAGAATGAATTTTGAATCTGCTTGTTTTATACTTGTCATTTCATAAGATCCCATGAAATAAGTGAAATTCAGAAACATTAGAATGTATGTGTATTGCATTTTCAAAATAATGGACCAAACTATACGATCAGCTTGATCACATTTCTTTAGACATTTTAACACGTCTTTTTTCAATTTGAGATATCATACTGAGAGTTCGTGTTAAACTCTCACAAACGATTGTACCCGTGTTACTTCATCTTCTGTTGAGAATGAAGTTTTTTTCTGAAAACAATTAGTTTGCTTTGACTAGAAAACTCAGTCCGGATTTCAGTTTTCTTATCTTCAACATGAGCAGGTAACGTATCTCTCATACAACGCATTGGTGTTAATCATTTGTCATCCTTGATATCTTAATACTTATCCATCCGTTATTTTAGTCAGTCAACTTGAGAAACAACTTTCCAAGGAGAATGTGTTATTTCATTTTTCGACTTAGTTGTGAATGAACCTACACACACATAATTGCTCTCTCCAAATAATTCATATTGCATGCATACCCTAGGCCTGGTATGAAAATGTATATGTGGTGTATATTACTTGCTTGCTTGAATGATTGATGCCGCACAATTTCACTTTATGTTTTGTTAAACACACATTTTCAGTGTTTGCCTTGTGTATGCTTTTTATTGTAAATTGTAGAATAACCATCTCTTATGTGTTATTATCTGTTATATACAACCTGGTTATTATTGACATGGTGGTTTGTGATGTATTGTTGTACATGTACATTACAGTACACTTGCACATATATCACAGTTTCTGTCGTCGTATGGTGCATCAATGAGATAATAAATACAGAATGTCAAGCTTTGACATTATTGAAAATATTTCAGCATTTACTTGTAACATGTATTATTAGACATTAAAATATGGAAGGTTGAGGGAACCCATGGTGGGGCAGATCTGCATAATATTACATTTGCCTCCAAATGTGACAGGCAAAGGTTTGTAATAAATATTGCCCCTGCATATAACAGCTCCAACAGGCCTTTAACCCTTGAATATTGTGATTTGCGTTCATCTAGATGTTATTTACTTCGGCATGTGGTGCTTGTGTAGAGGTGTTGTATGAATAAACGACATTACAAATGGTCAGTTATGGGTTGTATGTTACTTCCTAAAACTAGTTCAAACATATTTGTCACTGTGCTGTTATTATCAATTTTATCCACAGCAGATAACCGAAACGGCGAGTTAAGGGACATGGGCCAAATATTCTTCCACTTGTGGAAAATGTGTGACATGTCAATGATGAAACATAAACAATCCAACAACAAAAGATTTGTCCAGTGACTATCCAAGTTTAATCGACCGATGATACGCCACGGTCATGACGAGTCACATTTCTCAAGAGTAGGTACATGTATAATAATTGTGCCAAGAGAGCACATGTTCTTTTGCTGGAAAGGTGAAAAACACACTTTTATTAAATATCAAGCACATTTAAGGCATGATGACTAGTCTCCAAATTTTAAGACGTTTGATACCAATTCCGACACACATATAAGGGGTTGTTAGGGAAGTACAACCGTTTAAATGTGTCCAAACTGACGTCAGAGACCTCTTTTAGAGTGCTACCACATACACATGCGCGACACCAAGGTGGTTATATTAACAAAATCGAATAGCCAATGCGACCCTTTCAATGTTTCAAAAGATTTTAAGAGATTTGGTCAATGCAAAGTGCTTCAAAAGACCTGCACATTTACGCCAAAAATTGGCACATTTCTCCAACACACAAGGTAGACCAATGACTTTTCCGTTAGCTGCCTTGGGTGTACTTTTGCTGGAGAGGTGAAAACTCACTTTTATCAAGCCATTTCAGTGGATGATGGCTCGTTCTAAAGCTCTCCAAATTCCAACATGTTTGACACCACAAACGAAAACTTAGCACATTTCTCAAACACACAAGATAGACCAATGTCTATTCCGTTTGCTGAGGGGCGGTCGGGTAGCCGGTGGTTGAAGCGTTCGCTCGTCACGCCGAAGACACGGGTTCGATTCCTGACATGGGTACAATGTGTGAAGCCCATTTGGTGTCCCCCGCCGTGATATTGCCGGAATATTGCTAAAAGCGGCGTAAAACCAGACTCACTCACTGCGTTTGCTGACCTGCATGTACATATACACTCTTCAAACAAAGGAACGCACAGGTAGTATGTAGTTCATTGAACATGACAACACAAAATATCCGGTATATAAATTCTATGTTTTGGAAAATGTTGGTGGCCTGATATTCAACAAACATTGCGAAAAAACGCAGCCCTTGTCGATTTGTGATGTCATGGAGGAAAAGTAAAGCAAAATACACATGCAAGTTATAGCATTCGTAACTCGTGGTAGTGGCTAAAAAGGCAAGTATAAGCCCAAAAGTTGTCACTTAATTGTCAACATTTTTCAAGTTCGAAAATGCCGAGAATCGGCGCTGCCAATCGGAACATCGCCATATGACGTATCCAAAGAGGGGAATAGCAGTCCACCACAGCTCCATTTGCCGCCTTTGGGACCGATACACACAGTTTAATTCAACTGCAGACCGCCCGAGAACCGGCCGACCAAGAGTTACCACCCCTGCACAGCTTTTCGCCCCACATTGTGTACGTGAATTCGACAAATTCGGTGGCGGTAGTGTCATGATGTGGGGGCCCATATTCTACACCACGAGATCTGTCTTGGTTGTGGTTCAGGGAAATTTGACAGCAAGTCGCTACATGAATGAAATTCTTCAACCTCCTCGCCTTCCAATCATTGACCGCCAGAGGGAGCTGTTTCAGAGCTCAACCACACACAGCTCGTGTCACGGTAGACTACCTTTATAATGCCAACATCAACGGCTTGCTCTCGCCGTCGTGATCTCCAGATCTCAACCCAATCGAACACCTCTGGGATGAACTCGATCGACGCGCATGTCAACGTCAGAACATGCCGCAGACACTCCCACAACTGGCCAACGCGTTACAAGCAGAATGGCGCAGAATTTCGCAGGACAGAATTCGTACACTTATCCAGTCAGTGCCGAGGAGATGCAGAGCCATGAATGTTGCCCGGCGCAATCTTGTGGCCTTATGTGACATGACAATGAGCAGTTTTCACTGCCTTTGTACAACGGCAACATGTGACTATAGAGCTCCAAAAGTTCATATTTGTATCTATGATTTTAAATTAAATATATCGACTTTATAAGGTACAATAAATTTACTAAAAATCTACCTGTGCGTTTCTTTTTTTGAAGAGTGTATGTTATATTTCTGTCACAAAAAGAGAACATGGTCAACGGAATAGACAAAACGCTGACCACAGTCACACGAAATCAATGCTCAGTCCATTGTACGATTATGACGATACCATACATATGCCGATCTGGTTTGTACTGAGGAAACGACACTTTAAATACTGGTCTTCTCCATTTATAACATTAATGAAAGTTGGAGACAAGACATCAAGGCAAGATTTGTTTGTT